TTTATTTCTCTCTTCCCCTATCTATCATGGAAATCCAGTCCTCACTCCTGGTCTTTCTCCTACCTTAGTCCTGACACTCTGTGGCGCTGTCCCTCGTTGGATTATTTTACCCATTTTAATAACAATAATATAAAATGTTTTCTTAATTGTTATTATTTTATATTATAAATATATTTGTTTATATCAGTGTTTTTGATGGGGGAGGGATTTTAATATAATTAATTACTAGTATTTTCCTTGGGGATTGGAACAAATTCATTAATTTTGTGTTATTTTAATGAGGAAAATGCAATCAAGATGTGAGTGTATCGACTTACGAGTGTTGTTGTGGAATGTATTTTGTATCTTGAAGCCCCACTGTATTTTAAAATTCCTCTAAAGGTTTACAAGAGTTTAATCCCTGTTGAAGTTTTAGGAGAAAACCTTCCTTGATTGTCAATTTTACATGTAAGAGTCAAAGAACCTTTCTATACTGCTAAACCAAAAACTTCAACACCCTGCCGTAAACACACAAATGTACAATTTGTGTTGCATTTTAGACTATTTTTTTCTTTAATTTAACATCGGCAAGAAAGGAACATGTGCTTTCCCTGCCAATTATACCTCATAAGAAATTAATTTTCTATTTTTATTTGAAAAACACTGTGCTGGTATATTAGCTTAAATATCTCAAAATCCAACTTAAATATTAATCATTTTACAACTAAAATACACAAAAGTGTCAGTAATTAATGGAAATAAGAAGAATAAGAAGTAGTAAAGAAGAAGTTTAACAAGTGCAGTTGTTTAATATAACCAACAACTCAATTCATGGTATTTTTTCATCTTGTTCAATTGACAGACAAAAAATTAAATCTCTTAACTGTCACTTTTTCCAACAATAACAAACACTGCAGCCATGTTATTCATTGATGACAGATGAGAATTCTTTGAGACTTGAAGAATTTCCGTTTCTGTGTTCCGTGGAGGGCGCTGTGGGACAAATTATGTTATTATTCCAACATACACTGTTAATATTGATGATGCTAATGGTAAGTCAAATATCTGCATTTAGAGTACTTTTTGCAGTTACCAGTGTTTCACAGTATTTCTCTCTTGTGGATGTTTGGAACCCTAATGTTCTGTCAACGTCACCCTACATGTCACACGACCTAAAATTTGTAATCTACGTCTGCTGACAATGTTGCCTTCATCTTATATACAGTGCTATAAAGATCAGTGCTAAAGTTTTTTCTTTGTTTTTTGTTTTATTAAATCAGCCAAATTGATTTAATTTAGGTTTATTCTTTCTTTTCTTCCTTATTTTTTAGTATTCCTTCACGCATGAAACACTAATGATTATGAATAGACACTCAGGAGCATTTGAGGAACCTAGAATACTTAGTATTTGTTTAATGCCAGGGTCAGGACTAGAACTGGTGCTGTTTAGATTACAAATCCTATTCCTTTACCACCTGGGCACGGCTGACCTATCATATATTGACTGACAAAATATACATGACAGATAAGTTTTACTCTTGTTTATTTTTTTACCATTACAGTCCCCTGTGGACTCAGTGGAAGGAAAGGTTGAACGTACCTGTACAGTTTAAGGTTGTCTTCTCCCATTTTCCCTCTGTGCACCTTATCTCTGTTTTTTGCCCCGTATAATCTCTACGGCAAACGTAAATTACCTCTGAACCTGACAAGTATATGTTCTGGAACTCTGTCAAAATAACAGCATTATCTACTTTAGCTGGAGCACTGCAGGGTTTAGCAGCATCTGAAATGAAAGAGATTTGGTCATCGGTTGCGCTACAAGGTAACCTCTCACTGCATTCTACTGTACTGATGGAGAAATATTGGAGTTGACTCACATGTACAGATTGAGTTAAGTGCTGTATCATTTGGCTGCCATACTCCCTTTTTACATGTTAAATGGGGGATCTTAGTTTCGTATCCTTTCTTGCACTCAATCGGGACTTGTGCGTTGTTCTCATAAGAAGGTTGCGGGGATGTTACTTCCCCATTGGGAATTGGAGGCACCGGTCCACAATGGCTTTCATCTTGAATTGATTTTATAACAACAACAAAAATACCAGTAACTGATATATAAGTGAAGTATTATATATAATATACAAGTAAATACAAGTCATTACCAATGCAGCTCCCAAGTCCTAACCACTGTCCTTCGTCACATTTCGATTGTGCCCACCAGCCTTCCGTAATAAGCTTATAGCCTTCATTACAGGTGTAGTACATCTCATTGAGAGTACTCTTGGCAAATCCATTAGTTATCTTTGGCACAATGCATCCTAAAAAAGAGAAAACCCCAAACTTTTACTTTCAACTGTGTACACTGTCTGGTTTAACAGCAACTAAGGTGGTTTAAATGGCTCCTTCCGTGTGATCTCATAATCTTAAATTTCATTTACTACAATATTTACATGTTTACTATTACAATAATTATCTACAAATCTACTACAACTACTGCTGCTACTACTAGTACTAGTACTACCAATAATTACTACTACTAATGACTATTTGTCTATCATCTCATCTCATCCATCCATCCAGCCATCCATCATCTCATCTAATCTATCTGCATGACCATGTGGGATGTGTCATCTGACCATTCTGCAAACTTTTAACTTTTCTGAAGCCATTTCATTTCTTGCACTCGATGTATTGAATAACCGCTATGTGATTGGCTGAGCAGAGCACACTGGCATTTTAACAGGTGTACGAGGGAACATGATTCAGTATTTGTTGCAGCTCACATGCCTACACCTGCACTTTAATCTCACCTGAACAGTTTTGGATTCCAGTCCAAATTCCATTCTCACAAACAACTTCAAAGGCCTGACCATCCTTGTTGTCGCACATGAACTCCACTCTGTCGTTGTGAATGTAACTCTCTTTGTCGTTACGGGTGATGTGTGCCTTGTTGATTTTAAGTTTCGTACATTGCGCTGCAAAATCCGATTTAAAAGGGTTTAATGTCATTTCAATGGTACACCCTCATTTCTGCTTTGTATGCAGATACAAATTACACTCTTTAGGGGTTAAGTCGTTGCAGTCCGATAGTTTAGACATTCTTAACATTTTGCCTTGTGAAGTACTAGCAGTGTCTAGTAATGGCACAATATCCAGGATTCCTCTAAAAATTAAGTTAAAGTAAACTAAAAATATTTAAAGAAAAAAAATCAATTAGATCACTGTGACTATTAAATATCACGTTCTATCTAAGGTAAAGGACCTCTTGGTTTTGTTCTTGGTCAGAATCATAGTGCAAATCTTTGACCCGAACTTGAGTGCAATCTAAGTAGCTTGAGATAATGAAATAACACTGGAATTAAAGAAGGGTTAAATAGACAAAACCTTGACAGAGAGGATTAGGTTTCAATCCCTCTCTAGTGCATCTCGCCCTGTCGTATCCATCTGGTTTCTTGTAGCCCTTGTTGCACTGATAACCAAGAGTTTCATCTAGTTTGATTGTGCTTTTCCACCATGAATCCCAGGTATGAGTATGCTGGCCATGTTCAATTCCGCATGTGACCTCTGGAATAAAAAAAACAAGAAATCATTATCTCAAGTGATTACTACTGTGTCTGTTATAAGCACAACAACAACAGAGTCCAACTTTTAGAGCTCGGCTTCAATTTTTAGGTAATATTCACCAAATTTAAATGCATACCAGTCTACACCAAATGGAAATGACAGTCTGCATTAACTAGAAGAGTGAAGAACTACAGCAACAAATTAAAGAAAGAAAAGTTTTTCGTACTTACCATCACACTCACTGTTTCCACTCCACTCGCCGTGTCTACCACAATATAAAGAAAACTGTCCTTTATATCCATCTGTGCATTTATAATATGCTGTTTCTTTAAAACGATATTTGTCTTTCTCGTTGAGAAGCTCTGTATTTGGAATGTATTTTCTTGTGCACTGTATTTCTAAAAAAAAGAAAGAACCAAAGTCAGTGTCCTGAATGTTCACACCACTCTCTAGTTGCATTACTAGCCACACTTCCATTTTGTCAACTAATACACACTAAACTCTCCTGTACTTTGGTTATTCAATGATTTTGAGGCTTTTTTTTTCTTATGGTAGAAAAATGGTGTATATGTTTTTCTATAGATGACATTATTGCCCAGTACCTCCATGGGTGATTCCAGGACCTTGATACATGTCAAATCTTGACAGGTTTGCTTGCAGTCTAGACCTGTCTACTAGTAACAATATCTATCCTTGCATTGTGAGAAATCTCAGGCCACAGCCACAGCTACCTCCCAGATCTTATAAATATTTCTTCTTTTTAAAGTCTGAAGTCAAATTTCTATATCAAGCAACAAGTTAATATGCTGAGATTCCTGTTGCAGATTATCCTAAAATATATTGGTGTCAGAAGAAATATGGATATTGATGCTGTAGCCATTTAAATGTTGCTGTATGGTTCAGCTAATCTGGAAAACCAGTATATACCAGCTGCACAATTATGTTGGTCGGTCATGTCCATGAGAGGAAACTATTTTGTTGCAATAACTGAAACAAATAAAAATGACAAATAATGGCATCTTAAATCTAAGGGTTAAAGGACCTCTTGATTTTGAAAGTTGTTGTTTGGAACCGTGGTGCAAATCTTTGAATCTTTGAATTTGAGTGCAATCTTAGTAGCTTGAGATAATGAAATAACACTGGAATTATAGAAGGGTTAAATAGACAAAACCTTGACAGAGAGGATTAGGTTTCAATCCCTCTCTAGTGCATCTCGCCCTGTTAAATCCATCTGGTTTCTTGTAGCCCTCGTTGCACTGATAACCAAGAGTTTCATCTAGTTTGATTGCGTTTTTCCACCATGAATCCCAGGTATGAGTACGCTGGCCATGTTCAATTCTGCATATGACCTCTGGAACAAAAAAACAAGAAATGAGTATCTCCAGTGATTATAGCAGTTGGATGCTATTTCTGGAGAAGACCATAAACTTTTTACCTCTACATGTGGGTCTGATGCTCCACTCTCCATCATTTTTACATTTTGTTGTCACTGATGTTGTCAAATGATCAACGATCCAGTACCTATCTCCACAGGTTACTGTCATAGTTTCTCCAGGTGGAAAGGTACTTATGTGGTTAGGGCGGTAGCTGGTTCCACTCACTGGTGGCAGTGACAGTTTGCATGTAATTTCTGCATTTTGGGGCAATAAAGCAGTAAATCATTTTGTTAGATGCTGTAAAAATTGCAACTGTGAAAAAAATAGCAGTTATTCTGATAGAAATACCACATCTGAACTTTCCACGTACGTTCACATCTAGGTGCGGGGGTCCACTCGGCTCTTACACCCACTTTTATGCATTTTGAAAGCATGTTGTCAGTATGTTTGAAGCCAGGGTTGCACTCAAAGTTCAGAAATTCATTTTCCTTATATACTTTGGTGTTGCTTATAACAATGCCATTTTCAACTGCTGGTTTTAGACATTTTATTTCTGAAGAAGAATACAAACCGTCATTTGCAAATTCAGTGCTCAAAAGTAGCTACAAATATCAACTGCGAGAAGAAAAACGCTCTTCTCTGCATTCCCTACCTTCACATTTTGGTGGCAGTGAGGTCCATTCTCCTTTTTCATTACAGTAAGTCTCCGGAGATCCCAGTAGGACTTCATAGTTGAATTTGCAGACAAAACGAACTACGTTTCCATAAGTCGCCTCATTTGATTGCCCAATTATCTGAACATTATTTTCCACATGAACCTCAGGGCATTGTATGGCTGGTAGAAAAGAAACATTAGGTGGATTCTGGAAAATATTACATCATATTCCAATAATCATTTTGGTTTGATTCCTGGTAGAATCAATCGTTAGATTCCTCGTTATTCAATCGTTAGATTCCTGTTTTTCATAGAAAAACAAGCAGTGGTTATGAATTAATCGTACAGCCAAACATTTGAAGACAGTGTAAGTGGGGTGGTCAGGGGTGGGGGTGGGGGATGGATGGGTGAGTGATGTTAATCATCAATTTTTGTCAAAATCTACTATCCACTACTACTTTAAAACCACACTTAGCATTAGTCAAATCACCACTATGTAGTCCGTTGTTGTACTTGCAAGTTAAATGTTTTAAAAGTATTTTTTACACAAAGGGGAAATGTACTGTAATATATCATGTGTATTTCCAGCTGTGTAAAGAATAATTTTAAAACGTCTAACCTTTTAATTCTTGAAATTGCAAGTACAACGATAAGCTACATGGTGGTGATTTAACTAATGTTGGGTGCAATCATGTTCCATTGAGCAGCACTCTTGCCACTCCTCTAGGGTAACAACACTAGTTTTAATCAACTGTTTTAATCCACTCAAACAACACTTGTCGTATCAATCTGTCGTCATCACATTTAATCAGTTTGCTCTGAATATATTTAGATGTGAAATATGGAACAAAACTCCAGCCCCTACCTTCACAGGTGGGAACGACACCATCCCAACCCCCTGCCAGGCAATTTCGATAGTTAATCCGACTGATCATTTGGTAACTGCAACCATTGTGTGATTAAAAAAAAACAAAAAACAAATACAAATTTTCAAATAAACATGGACAAGCACATGATTAGTTTCTCATTTATCATACCCATTGTGGCATGTGTATACGACTTTTGACCCGAAAACAAAATCGTCTGCTGATTCCAGAGCAAAGTCTGCAAAGGCTGCCTCACCAGGATGGCCACAAGGCTTGGCTAAGATGGAGAAAAAATGAAACTCTGTATATACAATTCAAAATTTTAAACCACAATGCCACACAATTTATTATGTTTCTTCCAAATAAAAAAAGTTCAAACTCACGTTCACATTTCTTGCCTATATGTTTCCAGCCAATATTAGTACAGATCAGTTTAAAAAAGCCACTGTATCCAATTTTGCAGTTTACTTTAAGTTGCTGTCCTACAGGGTAGCTGGCCTCCAAGTCGCTTATGTCAAAATTGGAATCATACATCTGTCCATTCATGAACTGCTGAAGTGTACAATCTGCGAAATATACAATACTCATAGTGTTAAGGCATCTACTGTCTGTCTCTTTATTAGGACAGATTCAACAATTTGACAAAAAAAGTAACGTGGTCTCACCTTCACTTCTCACAGAGGTCAGTATTTGCATCCACAAAATAAGGATGAAGCTGCGAGTAATGGTTTGCATTTTGTCTTCATTAACTCAACCTGACAAGCAAAGGCAGGAAAGAAGAGACCGATGTACTCTTACTCACTGACTCAGTGAGCTGTGACTTTCACAAGCAAAAAGTGTAGGAGACAGAGACAAAGATTGGTCAATAGTTTGCGCAAGTCCACTCTCCTCCTGCCTCCAAAAACAAATTGTGTTTCATTTCACAGTTTATGAACTCTATGCAGATATATGAGGCCATAATTAAAGGTTTTAGCTGTTCTTTAATCCATTTGTAGTCAACAGGGAGAAAATGTGGAGAAAATAAGATCACATTAAACATAATGCATTTTATGCGTCTTGGCCTTGGACTCTTTGACAGAAGTCTGGCTCTGAATGATTTTGAATTAGTTTTGTTGGATTTGAACATCAAGTAATAAAACACATCTTTTCCCGTAATAGTCCATTTATTTGATCTCTCCTGTTAATCATTGGCAGCAATCAATGAATGAACCAACAACTGTGTGTGTGGGTCAGCGAGCGGAGACATCTTCGTTTAAAGATATAATTTATTAATAATAAAAAATATACACAAGAACATTGTGTGGACATGTTGGCAGAGAAATCCAGATACGACACTTTAATTAAGTCGTAACTGGTTTGTCTGATGGACGTTGAAAATGTAAAAACTCAAAAAGTTTGGTAAATAAATTTCTGTTTGAACAGAGGCTAAAATCCAGATGTTGGTGTTTGCTTTCATTAGTCAATAGGCCTTCATGTTTGTCTGCAGCGCTGACACACAGTGCACTCGCCTTGAAAATGTTTGCTATTAAAACTCAAATCCAATGGCTATGAAGGTTGCCTGGTGGCACCGATGGAAACCTTTGCCCTGAGACTTAGATGCAGCACTTTGCCATGTTTAGTTTGGCCCACAAGTCACTTTTAAAAGTTAATATTTTATAACTGCCTATCTTTGGTTTTGCCCTAAAAACATAAGTGAAGGACATTTAGGCTCATATTATTGTGTGCATGTGTGTCTGTGCAAGGATGTGTTTGTAAGTGTCAGTTAGAATGCTTGTCCCATGGATAGTAAAATACTGGGCTGCAGCAAAGCGGGAAGTGGCTGTAGGAGACCAAAACATGAACATATTAGTTATGTGAAAAAACGTCCCACTGAGTTCATAGAACCACCTGCTGGCGAGGTAGAGAAACTACAGGTTATCTGTCTACATCGGAAAAACGTGAATAAAACATTACATTCTATGATATATGTTTAACAAATAAAATAATTTATTTGTGTGTGTGTGTTGGAGGCTATCTGCAGTTCCCTTTTTGTAGTGTTCTTTTTTGAATGCGGATGAGTGATTCCTTCCTGGTGAATTAGTTGAAATGAACTGTGAGTTAACTGTGAGTTAAATGTCTCAACATTACATTGTTCAAACTTTATGTTTTATTTGCTTCTGCAAATTTGTGGTTTGGGGAAATTTAACATTTTGCCTAATTTTGGCTAGAATAAAGAAGCACAGGCTAGATTGTTTTGTACAGTTCAGAGTAACTTTTAATTACTGATATGCCTTAGTACATACTGGAGATTATTTACTAAACAATACCTGTGCTGTTTTTGTTTACTAGTGTGTACAGTTTGTATATACAAACAGCAGCGTGTTTGTACCGTTTTCTTCTTTTTCATGAGTGACTGCAGCTGATTAAATGTTTTTTATTTGTTGGTCTTCCCCTCAGGACAGACATCAGTCAAGGAAAAAAAACAAACAAACAAAAAACCACAAAACAAAAAACACCGGCTTTCGCAACATCTTATATTTTATTTATCCATACCACAAATAGTCGGAGTCCTTGTCCCCGAGGACACAGCTGTGGAGAAATGGCTCAGCAGTGACCCCCTGAGAGGTTGTACAGTGCTTTCTCCACGGAGACCAAACACAGATGACACTCAACGAATGGGAAACACTTACACCATAGGCACTTCAGCAACACGCCCAGTATTTTTAATGTGCGCATATAACATTTTACTTACAGAAAACCATTGACACTAATAAGAGAGCGAACAAAACAATTGCGGCTAGTTTATAAAGTTGATCAGAGAAACAGACCAGAGCAGGCGTTAAAGCAGATGGCGCTGAATATTCAGATGATATGTAATTGTAGAAAAAGTGGAATGTAACAGACCAACAATAATGACTAGACCAGTCCACCAGCCGTGTTTTGATTAATCTCACTGATAAACACCCCAGTTATATAGAGCAACAAAGGGCTATAGTATGGCTTGTTTTCGTAGTTTCTACAAAAATAAAGTAAAAGAAGAGCTCTCATTTTTATCCCCCGTTTCTTTCCTTGCTTCAGCTGCCTGTATTTTTACATGCTGGCTAGAAAAGTCCAATGAATAGGCTGTTCCCGCAGATATATCAGTGAATAAGGTGTCCAGTATTAAAACCAGATTAGACCATTAGTACTACACTATACTACTATGAGTAAACACTGTGATATTGATTTTTCATTCAAAAACTTTAGTTTTTTCTACACTATCTTTGTTTCGTTGAGAAAGTTTGGTTTTGTCATTGCTCTTGTTCTATTTAGATGACATACACAAAGTTAGTGTTGAGGTAGTTTTTTTTTTTAACTAAAGAAGTTAAATTTTATAACTTTATCCACAGACGCCACACACGTGAATGTGAAAGCTTCCTTTCTATTATTTTTCTTGTCCACTAGAGGACAGTAGTGATCCATATGTCTGTAGCAAGCAGACAGTAGAGTGTAAAATGAGCGTATCAGTGAATGGAATGGTAAAAATGGCGATGTCGATTGACGCATGCTGAATACACTCAAATCTCTTCTATTCATTTGCTTTTCTTCTTTTTCTTTCTTTCTTTCTTTCTTTCTTTTTAAATCGAGCAATTGATCAATTATTCAAACACATCTCCAGGAACCGACTCATAAAAAAAAAAGAAAGAAAAAAAGAATAGAATCAGTGAATGTCAGAAAAGACAGTACAACAGTGACAGTTGTCTCTTGGGTGAGGCCTGTGAATCTAGCCTCACCTCCATCATTGTTGATGAAAAGAATCGATGTCAACAATGATAGGCGCAAATTGAGAAACGACCGAATTGGAAGACCGAAGGTTAATTGATAAAAGATATTTTGAGAAATGTAATGTATTGAATTAATATAAAATAGTCGATTTTCAAGTCGTTTGGCTCCTTAAAGGCCTCCTTGTGTTTCCAGATTTCTGGTACACGGGTTACACTGCCTGCTCTCTAGGTGGCGGTAATGCGCCTAAAATGTGTTTGCCAAGATGCACAGCATGCTTTATATCACATTGCCACAGCAAATGTTGAAAGGGTAGTGATGGATTAATCAGAGTTAAAACCAGTTTTGACAGAAGTGTTATTTATATATTCATTGTTGAACCAATATTAATTGAAAGAAATGATTAATCTGCATTACATAACCATTATTACTAAAATTAATTAAATAATTGTTTGCTTATGTACGAACCACTCCTTAAAATTCTTAAAAGGAAGAAATCTAAACTCTTTTTTTTTCTTTTTTTCAATTTTAGGCAAAGTACATAATTGAGTTAAATGTGAAATATCCAGTGTAGGACCATTAATATAAACCATTAATCAAACTAGTCATAATTAGCCCCCAAAATAAGTCTCATAGATAATTCTTTTTCATTTCCTTAAAGAGAAAAGGAACCTTTTTTTTGGTATGTAGCGAGACTGGTGATCTGGAAGGTTCTGTGCCAACCACAACAAAGACTATGGAACTCCCACTGAGCAGAACATCTCAGTGAGTCTTTCTGAGGTTTGTTTATTCAACAGGATGAGCTTCAACGTTTAAGCCCACAGCAAACAAACAAACAATCGAGCGAGTTTTTCCCCGAGGCTTTCAGCTCAATGCTAATGATATACAGTAAGCACTCACGCCTCTTTTTTTTTTTTTTTTTTTTTTACAGGTTAATGAACTGGCCATTTGCATCAGAGCAAGACACAGTTGTATCTTCCTTCGCTGCTTCTATACTTTTTGATACTCATGTTTCTCACAGCCGACTCTCGGGGGAGACTGTTAAAACACATGGATGACTGAGTCAAAGCTGATCTGTTTTTTTTTTCTTCTTCTGTGCAGCTGTGGCTCCAGCAGCTCTGCACTCAAAAAGGAATCATCTCTGATTCAAACTGATGAAACACAAGGCTGGATCTAAAGTTCATGTTTTTTCAGGCTTTAACTGACTCTGTGGGAGAATCATTTATTGGACAAATGTTAACACGTAATAATAATATGTTTCATCCCACTTTCTCTGTGGTGACCTAGTGATTTAGATTTGTGGAAGATTTACACCAGTAGATGTGGAAACGGTGTGGGGTAGAATTCAGTGTGGATTTAGTCCTGCTTTCTATGGAGCGGCAACATAAACAGCAAAGCCTACGTCACGAACCTACGCCAACACAGTGGTAACATAAAAATTTGGAACATCAGAAGAGTCTGACTTACGCTGGAAAGCCATAATGAAGGGCGAAAAGTTCCCGAAAAAACAACACAAACGAGAGAAAGTGAAGGTAGCGCAATGCAGCAATGTTTTTTTTCTAAAAATATCTTAGAGAAGAAAGGTGTGCCACTTCACACAAGTGGAGAAAATGTAGGGCATATATTTTATATGGTCCCTGTAGCAACCCTCCCCACCACCTGTTTATGCCATTGTGCTAACCAGGATTAAACTTCAGCAACCCTACATTTCTCCAGTTGACGTACACAAAGATGGCTGCACACCACAATTGTGTACAGTACTTACACAGATACAGTCCGTCATTCCTGTGGGGAGTTAGGTTTCTGTATCAGGATCTGTTCCGCTAACATCACCTGTGTTTTAACTTCATCTTCTCCAGTTGCAGAATCAGATAAAAGTCAAGTGGAAGGCGTCTGTTTCATGTCGGTTCACATTCTTTTCCTCATCTGTGAAAAGTCAAAATCAAGTGTACGAGAACGAGCGATGTACTTTTTCTCAAGTTCTCAAAATATTAACACCAAATCTCTCTCTCTCTCTTATCCATCTCCCTCTCTCTCCCTTTCTCTCTCTGTCCCCCCCACCCCCCCGTCTCCACTCTGTCAGCATGGGAGG